TTGTCCCATTTAGCAGTTTTCACAAACCCAAGGTGAGTCCTTCCTGCATTTTTGACAGTTATACTTCGTTCAGTGCTGTGGTTCCTGTTGCAGAGATTGCACACCTGGCCTGCTTATAATAACAATGAAAAATATCTAAAAAATAGAGTTTAGCACATTTTCCCAAAGTAAGAGTTGTAGTATGAACTAGATTATGTTATCTATGTGCTACAAGTTTTGTGGCACTACAATGATCTATAGTGTAATTATTGGCTATTATATGCTTATAATAACAATGAATAAATCTGCAAAAATACTGATTGGCCTATCTTCCCCAAGTAAGAAAGAAAAGAATGTTAGAACTGTAAATATACAGTCATATGTTTATATAACTATTTTTTAAATGTATTTATTACTGTTTTCAAGGCTGCACTTTAAAATATGTAATTCTCTAGAGCTGTTTTAAACAAAATTACTTTTTGTTTACACTTGTGTATACAAAATGACAAAATAAATCTGTCTAAGTCATAAGTAATTATTGGCTTTTATATTCTTATAATAACAATGAAAAATCAAAACAAAAATAGAGTTAAGCACATTTTCCCAAAGTAAGAGTTGTAGTCTGAACTAGATTAGGTTATCTATGTGTGCTACAAGTTTGGTGGCACTACAATGATCTATAGTGTAATTATTGGCTATTATATGCTTATAATAAAAAAGACAAAATCTCCAAATATACATTTTGGCCTACCTTCCCAAAGTAAGACTTGTAGTATGACCCATGTCATGTATTTATCCGGGTTTTATTTCAATAACGAGGAGACGGGTAGTATGGTGGTTGCGGTCCGCTTTACTGAATAGAACTGGCAGGATACAGGAAAAACAATCCCCTACGTAACATGGGGGTACGGTGGCCGCCGAGGCACAAACATAGCAACAGTGAAACCCGATTTAATATCTAACATTTCCTCCCCCCATATTCAGTAAGACTAACCCCCGAATAAGATAACGTACCCCAACAGGGGGTATAACCTAACTTCAAAATTTCCAATCGACAAGAAAAAAAAGGATATGAAAGTCCATCAACTACAAGTTCAGGCGGTCAGGAGGCCGTCGCTCCCGCGTGGGATACCGGTGAGGATGGTGGGTCAC